ACCAAATCTGCAGAAGGCCTTGGGACCTCTAACACAGGCTGTCTTGTTGATTACAAGGAAAAATATCAGCATTGCCAAAGAAAAGTTAATGGATATCACTGTAAAATTTATTTATGGAACTCCTTTAAATATAATTTTACTCATTCATTCATTTGCTCATTTGTTTATATGGCAAGCACACACTTTCTTCCCCCACTCAGTCATAAGGGGCCCAGAAGTGTACTGGCATCTGAAGCAAGTCTCCTGCATGACTGAGCCCTTAAGTTGTGGCACTAACTCTGCATGGTTAATGCCAGGATTGAATGGCAGAACATAAGAACACTCATCCTGGATCTTCCAATGGCTCTTTGCTCCAATGTTTATGCAAACAAGCAAAGGTTGAATTTGAAATGCAGATGTGTGGCCAAGTCTCCTTTGACAAAGGCCCCGAGAAGTAACAGCACCATTTCCTGTCTCTTCTCATTAAAGGAGAATGGTGACATTGAACATAGTGTATTTTGGCCCATATTGGAATGTTCAGAATTCCTATGTGTTTAGAACGAGATTGTAGGAGTAATGACAAGTTTCGCTTGAAGGTCTTTTAAAGAATGCACTCCAGAGGGAGTGTTCCATGGGACAAAGTAATGAAAGTATCAGTAAGAATTATTGAAGGTGACAGAACCTTAGCGTTCAAAACTGTGACACTGACACAGCAATGTGTGTCTGTGCGTTGGGGATCAAGCTGAGAGCCTCATGAATGCCAGGTGACATCCCCAGCCCGATACAAAGATATATTTTAGGATGTTCTCTTTGGCTGATTGGTTTGATAATGAAGCCTGGCATTGCTCATTAACTTATGTGTTAGACGTTTAACAAACATTGAATGAGACAAATCTGTAGTTCAAAGTTTTGACAAATATATGCTTGTAGTTCATACTAAAAGCCTTTTAGAAAAAAAAATATTGGTGGGAAAAAGGCCTATAGAAATGTTAATAGTTCTATTTTCTCAACTCTGAAATAGAAAATAAGGGGCCCTAAGAAAAGTTATGGTAAAATTATTAATAATTTGATAATCTTTTGTTGTTTTTGATGTCATTTAAAAACCCTTTTGGTACACATTCCAGAAATCAAAAAACAAACAAAGCCCTAATTGAGGTGTCTTATGATAGATCGCAAAAATATTTTTCATGGTAATGCACTATGATTTTTAGCATGCTTCTTGAAGGAGATAAAAGATTTGAATGATTTAACCAAATGTTTCCCATATCCATCTATTTATGTGGACAGATTTCCTCAGTGCTTAAGTCTATAAAAATAAAACTATGAAAAGAATTGATGCTGAATTCTATCTCATCTTGATGTAAGTAATATTTCTCTACTAGCCCCATGAACTGAGGAAAAGGTAGCACTTTTCATTTCACTAAAAGATGCATTTGCAATAAAAGTATGTCATAGGATATTATGTCAGACTAACCCTTTTATGGATAAAAATGATAAACTTTGGACAAAATATAAAAGTGAAGACACTGGAAAACAAGCAAAACCAGGCCAGCAGAATTGAGGAGGTGGTTACTCCACAAAGGTTAAACATATAATAAATGAAGTTTATGTCCATATACTGTGCCTGAAGGCACCTCCTAGTATGCACTCAATCCGAAAGCTAGTCTTACTTGCTTAAGGAGTTAGATAGAGTCTAACTCAGAGGACCTGGAAATGGGTGAGGAAAACCCTGAAAAGGACTAAGTCAGAGACAGGTAGGGCCCCAAATCTGCACATACACCCTACCCAAATCCTTACTTGGCCTCTGAACTGTGTTGCATTGGGGGAGACTGCAAAGGACCCCAGCAAAAAACAACAGCTGGATTGTTGAAAGGAGTTATCAGAAATTTCAGATAGAATTTGACTCCAGTCAAGTTAACTACCTGCTAGAACAAATCAACACTCATTAGAGGAAGGTAAGAGAATTTAGTGGCTTTGTAATAAAGCATCCACAATATCCAAAGTACAACAAAAAATTAATAGATATGTAATACAACAGGAAATTTTGATTTATAGTTAAGAGAAAAGCAGTGAATAGAAACTGACTCCAATATAATTCAAATGTAAGAATTAGCAATGACATTTAAACACTTATACATATACTCAAGGACTTAAGAAAATATATGGTTATAACAACTTAACAGATAGGAAATCTCAGCAGAGAAACAGAAATTAAGAAAGAAAGAAAGAAGGAAGGAAGGAAGGAAAGAAAGAAAGAATGAATGAAAGAAAGAAAGAAAAAAAGAGAGAGACCCCAAGAACTAAGTGGCAATTCCAGAACTGAAAGTACAAGGTCCAAAATTAAAAAAAAAAAAAAATTCACTGAATGAGTTTAAGAGCAGATCGAAAATAATCAGGTCAGTGAACTTAAAACAGATTAAGAGAAATTATCCAATGTGAATAACAGAGATTAAAAACTACTGAAAAAGTAAATAACTAAAGGTTCACTGACCTTTGGGAAGATATGTAAGAGTCTAACCTGCAGGTGATAGAAACCTCAGAAGGAAAGAAGAGAGAATGAGTCAGAAATTAGTTATTATGTTTGACAGGCTGGGGATATAGCTCAGTGGTTTAGTGTTTGGCTTGCATGCATGAGGCCCTGAGTTCTATCCCCAGTGCCACAAAAAAAAAAAAAAAAAAAAAAAAAAAGAAGTCAGAGTCAGAAATTAGTTATTATGTTTGAAAACATAATAACTGAGATTCTACCATTTTTTTTGGAAATCATAAATCCATAGACTCAAGAAGCTTAGCAAAACCCACGCAGGATATGGAAAAAGAAAATCACACCAAAAGCAACATGGCCAAACTACTTAAAACCAAAGAGAAAGAGAAAATCTTAAAGGCAGTTGGAAAAAAATTACATGGTACAAATTGGATGGGTAGGACAAAGATGGATATGATTCAGAAACAATGAAGGCCAGAGCAATGAAATGACATTTTTAGAGTTTAATGTACATGAGTAAGGGGGTACCTCAACTTAGATTCTCTATCTAGAGAAGATATCATTTAAAATAATGGTGAAATAAAGCCAATTTCAAATAAATAAAAACAGAATTTATCACCAGATCTAAGGAATTTTAAGTTCTTCATAGGGAAGGAAATAATACTGGATAGAAACTCAGATCCATAAGAAGGATTGAAGAATAATGGAAATGGTAAACATTAGGGTAAATAGAAAATGCTATAAAATGTTTTCTTAATGTCTTTAAAACATATGTCTAAAGCAAAAATTATTTACTAAATTTAAATATATGTAGATCTACTATATATGACACAGTAACAATACAGAATAGGGAGTAAATGAAAATACATTTTTAACAGGTTCTTACATTTTAAGTCAAATAGTGCAAGATAAGCTCTCAATACATCAAGATAATTTAAGGATGCATATTAAAAATCCTAACACAACTACTAAAATTAATATAAAGAAATATACCAGAACCAAAGTCAGAATTATGACAAACTAATCAGAAATAGATCAATACTAAAGAAAGCAGAAGAACAGGAAAAAAAGATGAAGTAAATAGAATAAAAATTACAAAATGAGGGCTATAAATACAACTACATCATTATTACATTAAATGTAAATGGACTAAAAAACTAAGGTATACAGAGTATCAGACTGAATTTTTAAAAATCAGGAACCAACTATAAACTATAAGATATATACACTTTAAACATAGACACAAATTGATTGAAAAGAGTGGAAAACAACTTATCTGAGGCAAAGAGTAAGCTGAAAAAGGTAGAGTAGTTATGTTAGTATCACACAAAGTAGACTTCAAGTCAGAAGAATTAGCAGAGATAAGAAGAGTTCATAATTTTTTAAAAAATCAGTAAGAAGACATAAAAACCAGCTAAAGAGATCAAAATCCTGCACATGAATCTAATAATACAAGCTTTAAAGTACATGAAGCAAAACCTCACCAAACTAAAAACACGAGAAATCCACAATAACAAATAGAATTGTAATAATCTTCACTCAGTCAGTAATAGAACTAGACAAAAAAAATCCATATATAGGTGGCCTGAGCAACATTATCACTAATTAACTGAATTGATATTTATAGAATCAATTGATAATTATAAAACCACTCAACTGAAGAGTATACATTCTCTTTAAAATGCACATGGAATGTTCACCAAGTTACGTAGCATGCTAGACTATGAAATATGTTTGAATACATTTTACAAGACTGAAGTGTTTGAGCTTCTTCATTGTCCACATAAACTTAAAAGTAACAATATCTAGAAAAAAATGTTTGGAATTCAAACAATACATCTCAAAGAAGTGAGTCAAAGGAGAAATCATAACAGAAATTAAAAACTATTTTTTAGCTGAAAGAAAATGAAACTAATACACATCAAAAATAGTAGAATGCAGCTAAAGCAATGCAGAGAGGGCAACTCATAGCTCTTAAATATGTATCTGAAAAAGACAGAAAGATCCTCAATCAATAATGCAATTTTCTCTAAGCAACTAGAAAAACAAATCAAACCCTGAGTAGTAAAGAACAAAAAATCAATGAACTAAAAAACAGAAAATGGAGACAAACGATGGTTTTGTGAAAAGATCTCTGACTAGATTAGTCAGCAAGAAGGAAAATACAAACTACCACTAATCAAGAAGGTGTGAACAAAGATAAGTTCTTGCCATCATTGACTGCTCAGGGAGGATGCTGGTCATTCAAATAAATCTGTATGATGTATAGATTTGGGAACACTCTAAGAGAATTCTGTAGTAGAGGAGAGGCCAATTTAGGTTGGGGGTGGGAGAACCTCCAAGGAAATTACTCTGATCCCAGCACTCCAGAAGGAGCAACCTGAGCCCCACCCCAGACTGTTAGGAGCGGGTGGCTGCCCCGCCCCGCTCCCGGCCCCGCCCCGTCCCTCCTGCGCAGGCGCGAGTTCGGCCCCCTAGCAGAGCGAGGGGCGGGGCGGCCCAGGGCGGAGCCGGCGGCGGGAAGGGGCGGCGGCTCGTGCCCTGTGAGCTGGTGAGGTGGCCCTGGTGGGACCCATCCGCTCCTGTTCCCCGCGATGCTGAGGCCAGACCCGGGCCCCTGGCCACTCTGATCAGGCCTGAGCGCGGAAGGCGCGGAGGGAGGCTATGGCGGAGTTCTGCGAGCCGGCAGGGCGGGCGCCCGCGGGCCGGGAGGAGGAGGATGACGAGGAGCGGGAGCCGCTGTTGTCGCGCGTCGCCTGGGCTGGGCCGCGGAAAGGCGCGCCGGGCAGCGCCGTCAGGCAGCTGGAGGACGCGGGGGCTGTGGACGCGGCCGCCTCCCCCCAGGCCGGCGGCGAGGAGCCACTGCCCCCTCCTAGGGACGCGTCCGGCTTCCTCTCCCGGGACCCGGGGGCCTCCTGGAGCTCGCCCGCCGACATGGACCGTAACCACCCCTCGACTTCAGGTGCGCCCGGCCTTCCGTCCCCGCGTGCGCGCGTCTCCCAGCGCCTGTTGCTTCCGCGCTCGGCCCCTGCCCGCCGCTCCCGGTGTCCCGCGCGGCGCTCTGCCTTGCAGTTGAACTTGAACTTGCCCCGGCGGGAAAGGCTCTCCCTTCCCTGGGCAGCGCCGGCCAGACTCTTGCCCCACCGTTCACCTGCTGTAGGCTGCTTCCCTAAGGCCAGCGGTTGTCATTAAACTCTGAATCTTCAGCCTTTCCCCCCCGCCTCCCCGCGCCCCTTCCCTCGCCCAGAAGTGGGTCCGAAGGAATCAAACCCCAAGGAAAAAACTTAGCCCGGTACAGTGATGTCGTTTACTCAGGACATGAGTTCTGAATTAAGAACTCTGCGAATTTGCAGGGTGGATGACCGCAGAGTGATGTTCACAAAGAATGACCATTTGCCACTGGGACACGTTTCAAAACTAAATGTTGAGATTGTGACGTTAGCCAGAGGGGCAGAGGCAGTTGAAATCCTGCTGTTGTCGCTCTTGCAAAGTTTTTATTTCTTGAGTCGCTTCTGTACTTAGGCATTAAACAACAACAACAAAAAAAACACTTTGACTATTAAGTGGACTGGTTGCCTTCGAGAGAGAGACTTAATTGAAACATTGTTGAAAGTTGGTAAAATTTAGGCGTGTTAGTGCAGGCCTGGATGTTTGTTATGGAGTGAGATAATGGTGTGTGGAGTTAAAACTAATTTGGTGGAAATTGAGTAGATTTATGAGAGTCCCAGCCACAGCTGAGACAGGCTTGTTTGTAAAAGGCTGATGGTAACACTTGGTGTTAGGATGATTCAGAAAGGTGGTGTGTGCACAGTGCCTGAGTGTCACTCCATGTGACAATTTAAGGAAGTTTTTATTAATACTGCTTACTTTTTGTGGAGTTGTTATATGTGCTTTTAGCAGTTTTAAAGAATTTTGGGCAGAGTAAGTCACTCAAGTTCTAACCAACATAAATAAATGTTCTAAAATCAGAGAGAAAAGGAAACAGTCTGTCCAAAACATGTGAGAGTGTTTTCGCTACCATTATAGTGTTAGCTGGTGGATGCATTTGCAATACAGTACTTCATAGCCCAAACGCAGAGTTGGAACCAGGTCACAAGTGGACCCACATTCACCTAGCTTTATTGAGTCTGCACTTGTAATAGAATTGAGACTGAGGTGACTAAGGTCCACATGGCTCTCTTGCCTCTTTCCACCCCAAAGTTAACTGGTGTAGCTAGATTTTAATAGAGCTTGTGTTGAAAGTGCATTTGTTGAGAATTTCTACCTTCCTAACGGTAATAACTTATTTATCACACTTTACAGTTTACTAGGTTCTTTTTTTTTTTTTTTTTTGGCCATTTCATTAATTCTTACAATAGCTTTCATCTTAGTTGTTAATGACTGTTATTTTTGTTGTGAGAATTGAAAATTAAAGAAACTGCAGTTCTTAGAACTTAGGGGTAAGTGGTTTGCCCAAAGCCAAATACTGAGGATGTGGTAAAGCTAGGACTGAGCCGTTTTTCTTTTTTCTTGTCCTGGACTTTTTCTGTTTTGCTGTAGATCCCTAAGTGTTATAAAAGTAACTGTTAGTTTTGGTAATTATGGATATTTCATTTTTAATGAGATTTAAAAATAATTCTGAGCTATTAAAAACTGTTTGAAATGTTTAAAGCAGATTCCTAAAACAGTTTATGATCAGGTAATATTGGAAATACTGGGGTTTGAACTCAGGGCTTCGTGCTTGCTAGGCAGGTGCTTTATGGCTTGAGCCACAGCTTTAGCTGTTTTTATTTTAAGGTCACATACTGTATGATTCCATTTATTTTTATTTTTGATATTACAGGGGTTATAACTCAGATCTTTGTGCTTGCTAGGCAGGCAGTCTACCGATTAAACTATGCCTCCAGCCCAAGTTTTAGTTTTTTAAGTGTGTCCATTGCCATACATTTTCCATAAAACCACCTTTAATTACAAGACATTCTTGTTGGGGGCCTAGCCCAGGAGGTAAAGTACCTGCCTAGCAAGCTCAAGGTCCTGTTCAAACCCCAGTTACGACCACAGACACAAAAAAAGACATAATCACCTTTAGGTTTGTAGTAGCATCATTTATGATGCTTAAATGTTCTGTTTATATAAACAGGAGCTGTACATACTTTACCAAGTGGAAGAATGCCATATGTCTGTTATCTTTATTTTAACAAGGCATTTGACAACGTCCGGAAATAGCATAAACCACAGTTTTAGTTGTTAGGTCAATGTCAAAGTTGAAAGGTGTGGCATTCCTTAGTCTAGTTATCATTTTAATCAGTGAATCAGATCCTAATAAAGATGATAATAGCCAGAACCTATTACCTATTAGCAGTTACATGCACTGGGCATGGCTCTGTGTGTTTCACATGTATTAATTCATAACTAACCCTACAAAGTGACTATTTTTTTGTTCCCATTTAAGAAGGCAAGGGGCAGGAGGCTGGTGGAATGGCTCAAGTGGTAGGAGCTGAAGGCCCCTAGTTCAAACCCAAGTACCACCAAAAAAATAAAAGAAGCCAAAGAGGACTGGGTGCCATGGCTCATGTCTATAATCCAACTACTTAGGAGGCAAAGATCAGGAAGATCACCATTTGAGGCCAATCTGGGCAAATGGTTCAGGAGACACTATCTTGAAAATACTCAACACGAAAAAGAGCTGGTGGTTCATGCTATAATACCTAGCTACTCAGGAGGCAGAGATCAGGACGATCGCAATTTGAAGCCAGCCCAGGCAAATTTCCGCAAGACCCTATCTAAAAAAAAACCTTCACAAAAATAGGACTGGTGGAGTGGCTCAAGGTGAAGACCATGAGTTCAAGCCCCAGTACCAAAAAAAATGACCCAACACATAAAAGGGCTGGTGGAGTGGTTCAGGCAGTAGAGCACTTGCCTATCAAGTGTGAGGCCCTAAGTTCAAACCCCAGTACTGACAAAAAAAAAAAAAAAAAACCCAAAAAGGCAAGGGAGGAGTAAAGAAACTCTCCAAGGTCTGAGTTAATACAAACATATTGAGCATATATCTTCTGTTAGAGAACCTAACAGAGAGCAGTGTTGAATTTACAAAGGAGCAGTCAGTGTAAATCACTTAGTGATTCATCATGGCTAATATATAAATGTACAAACAAACTAGGAAGATTATTTAAAAGCGAAGAAGAAAGGAGAGGACAAGAAATACAAGTGAGGAGCTGAACAAGATGGGGACTGCAATATTGGTAGACAAAATACACATCAGCTATAGGCTGCCCACAAGTTTGACTTTTAAAACTTCTGACCAGGACTCGGGGTGTTGGTGCACATCTGTAATTCTAGCATTCAGAAATCTGAGCAGCAAGAGGATGGTGAGTTTGAAGCCAGCCTGGAATACATAGCCAGTTCTAAACTGGTTATTTGAACCAAAACAGGATAACCTGTCACGGAAGAGACCGTATGCTGACCAAAGTCTTTGTAATAAGAATGATTGATTTCGTAGGGCTAGTTCTTACAACATCCCTGAAGCCCTTGTCTAGAAGCAGAAGTAGAAGTAGTCTAATAGCTGGTGTTGACAGTATTGATTGATCTAGGTTCAAGACCCTGATACTATGATCTAATGTGAGAAAGGTTTAGACGAATAGATGTCCTATGTGCCTTGACAGTCCTCCATAACTAAGCTTTTGAAAGTAAGCAGTGATGTGTTGGAGATTATTCCTTAGCCAGTGCTTAAAATACAGCTCTTTGTTTTCCATTGATTACAGAGACACATCATCAGATATGTGAGTGCCCACTGAGTGCCTGTGGAAACCACAGGCTCTGAGGTGAATGCTGAGTAAGGGTCCGTGGAGACGTGGAGTCCCATGCTAGCTGTCGGGGCTGGAAGAGATTTAGCAGGGAAGTGGTATCCAGTGTAAGACCTGAGGGATGAATAGCATTGCAGTGCCTGAGGCAGGGGTCAATTCACCTAACTTGTCAGCACGTCATACTCCGGCTAGTGAGTGAGATGTGGGAAAGAAGGGTTCTAATCTTCAAGGGAAAATAAGTTCATTTGATTTATTTATTTAAAATGAAAACTTGGGGACTGGGTACAGTAGCTCATACCTGTAATTCCAGCTACTCAGGAGGCAGAGATCTAGAGGATTGCAGTTTCAGGCCAGCCCCAACAAAGAAGTTCACAAGAACCTATCTCAATCAATAAAGTTGGACATGGTGGAGCGCTCCTGTCATGCAGCTATACAGGAAGTATAAATAAAAGGATTGTGGCCCAAGCCAGCTAGGCAAAAAATTTGACACCCTATCTGAAAAATAGAAACAAAAAGGGCTTAAGTGGTACAGTGCATGCCTCGCAAATGCAAGGCCCTGAGTTCAAGCTCCAGTGCTGTCAAAAAAAGAAAAAAAAAAAAAAAAACGAAAACACTTGGTAAGTTAGCATGCATGCTTGCATCCATCTGAATATGAAAGTTTATACAATGAGTTTTGTTAATCCATTTTCAGTTCTTGCTTTCCATAGGGCCAGTAATGGCCCTTGATTAAGGTCCAGGGAATAGTTTGTTAAATTTTTGTCTTTTTTTGAGACATGGACTCACTATACAGCCCAGGCTGGCCTCGTACCTCATGATCCTCCTACTTCTGTCTCCGAAGTGCTGGAATTACAGGCATGTAACCACCATGCTCAGCATGTTAGTTTTTAAAAAAAAAATTCCTTGAGGGCTTAACACTCTAGGTGTGAGGGATACATCAGAGAACAAAGCATAGATTGCTTCTTCCCTGGACCTTTGATGGTTTTGTCATAGAATAGTAACTGTGAATGACAAATAAGAACCAGCCATGGGAAGAAGCTTGGTGTGTTCACAGGAATAGAAAAGGAAAGGTGAAAAGTGAGGAACCCGAAAAGCTGGCACTTGACTAGAAGGCTGCCACCTCTTCTGAGGGGGTGACTCAAAGAGAGTGTCCAAAGGTAAAACTGAGATTCTCCTTAGAAAATAACTTTGAAATTTTCTGAGAGAGACACAAAAAAACACCATGGTTTATTCCTTAAAAGTGTGACTGTAATATCAACTGAAAAAACTCAAAAGAGGGCTGGAGGTGTGCTCAGTGGTGCACCTCGTTTAGCATGTGAAAGGGCCTGGCTTCAATCCCCAGGGCTCCAGAACCATAAAAATCAAAGAAAATGTAGCTGTGTCCTCAGAGAGTAAAATCCAAACCACCGACAAAAAGCCTTCAAACAGAACATCCCCGTAGCACGTGTGGCAGGAAGCAGCATAGCATCTGGGTGCCTCCAAGTGAGACTCTACTGCTGTGCATGTACACAACTAGAATGCAGAGAATTGTAGAGCGCAATCACCAGTCATGAATCGGTCAAGGAAAAGTTACCTTCCAAAAACCCATTGCTTTGATTTTAGAACAGTTGATATGTGGGCTTTGTTGCCGACAGTAATTAGGTAATAGGACCAGTTATTTTTTTTAAGTGGTTTTGTAGATTGTGATAGTAAATGCAGGCCACCTTCAAATAAAAAATGCACATTTTCCTGTGGAGGGTGTTGTCTCATTAAGGGGCTGAGAGCAGCCTGGCTTATTTGACAGAAATGTTTCTGACTGATCTGATTTGAATGGAAGCTACATTATTAAGTATTCAGAGAGTGATGGTGGACTCCTTGACAGCAACAAAGGCAGGTTCTGTGATGAACTTCAAAATGCAGTTCATAAGCCAGTGTGGCGTTACATAGGAACAGTGTGAAGGCCTGTGTGTAGTGTTAGATGTTTTGACATAAATCAGTAGTGGCAGGACTCCTCTTCTTTCAGGTTCATGTAAGACTGAGGTGCCTTTGTCCTTTGAATGGGCTGCTTGGTTCTGGAGATTGTGTTTTTTGGGGGTTTTTTTTGGTTTTCTTGCGGTACTGGGGCTTGAACTTGGAGCTTACACCTTGAGCCACTCCACCAGTTCTTTTTTTGTAATGGTTTTTTTTGAGATAGGGTCTTGGGAACTAATTGCCTGGGTGAGAACCACAATCCTCCTGAATCTCTGCCTCCTGAGTAGCTATGATTATAGACGTGAGCCACTGGTGCCCAGCTGGAGACCTTGTTTTAAGGAGGAACACTGAAATACTGAGGCATGAAGCAGGTGGGCAGCTAGGATGCTGAAAAACCCAAACACACTTCATATGGCAGGAGATGGGGGACAGAGGAGACATGAGTCATGGGGAAATGTGAGTCATCTTCAGTCTTTTGGAGAGTTTTAGACAGAAGTCCAGGATAGAGGGTAAAATTTCAGGGGATACACTTCATTATGGAATAGGAAGTTTGTGTTTGTTTTCAAACACACAGAAAGGAACATTAAAAAGAAAAGGTGTGATCTGTCTCTGCAAATGTTTGCACATGGGCCAAAGACCGCTTGCTGGGTGACATATTACAGAAAGTGCGCAGGAACTAGGAACAGTTGATATAAGTAACTTTTCAAGTTTGTTCTGTCATTAAGAGCCTTTGAGGGCTGGGATGTAGCTCGGTGGTACAGCGCTTGCCTAGCATGTGTGAGGCCCTGGGTTTGATCCCAGCACCAAAAAAGAAAAGACAAAAAAAAAAAAAAAAAGAGCCTTTGAGCTGGGCATGTAATCCCAGCATTTGGGAGGCTGAGGCAGGAGGATCGCAATCTTGAGGCCAGCCTGGGCTATAACAATGAGACCCTGTCTCCAAGAAAACAAACACAGGAGTCTGAATATCTGGTTTGGAAGAAATCTCATTTGACAAATGATCAGTGGTTACTAGCACTTGCATTTATTTAAATAAATTTATAAATGCTGACCCCTCTTCCAAATGCACACGAAAGACAAAGTTCCTCCCTTCATTCTTGAGCATTTGAAGGTAAAAATGATTTGGAATGAGCTTACCAGTTGAACAGAAGTGACTAAAATACTTGAATTATTTATGCTTTTGACTAGGTAAATATGCCCAGTAGCCCTTTTTGTAGTATTTTGCTCTGCACAAACTTACAAATCGGTGAATAGCGTTGTTTCTGTCTGAATTAAGGAAAGTTGGCTGTTTTGAATTTTCATAGTAATGCACATACAGCATTAAAATACCTTCCAAATGAAAGCATAAATAGCTTTTGTTTTGTCTACCTACCTTTTGGGGTTTTTTTTCTGTTTTTTTTTTTTTTCCCTCTGGTGGGATTAGGGTTTGAACTCAAGGCTTCATACTTTCAGAGCAGGTGCTGTACATCTTGAACCACACCTCCAGTCCATTTGGAGATTGTGGTTCTTTTTTGGAGATGGGGAGGGGGGGTCTTATAAACTATTTGCCTGGCCTGGCCTCGAACCGTGATCCTCTCAGTATCAGTCTCCCAAGTAACTAGTAGTGAGCCACCAGCTTCTACCTACTGCTTTAAACCATTAATTATTAATTCATTCATTCAGTGTTTATTGAGTGCTTATTGTGTTCTGGGAAATATGTAACTTCTGGGAATACAGCAGTGAAAGAAATTGCTGTCTGCTCGACGCTCACAAAGTACATAAATTACGCAGTACATTAGATGATCAGTGTAGGCAGAAAAGTAAGAGCTAGTGGCAGTTGGGTGAGGGTATTAGAAGTCCTAAGGACTTGTACTTTTTTCTTTGAGTGAAATGAGAAATCCCTCAGGCCGTTTGGTACAAAGGCATGATGTGATCTGCCCTATGTTTTAAGGGCTTACTTGTTGAGTACAGAGAGGCGGGGCGGAAGGGGGAAGCTAGGGAGGAGGCTTGAGGTGATAGGGAAGAAGGTTGAGTACTAATACTTACCGAAGGTAGAAACAAAATGACTTTCTGGGAGATTGGATGGAGAGTGTGAGGATGAGAGATCGTGGATGAGTCTAACATTTGGTTCTTAAGCAACTGGAAGATTTCGACTTGCCAGCAGCTGGAATAGGGCAGCATAGAGATGACACTTCAGGAGGGATGGTGAAGATGAGGAAATGGGTTTAGCGTGGTAAAGACTGAGCTGTCCACTAGCATCCAGGTGCTGGAGTACAGTGGGTGGGGGCTCAGGGCAGAAGTGATAAACTTGAGGAGTCCTTAGTATTATAAAGGGGAGAGGAGGAGCAGAAACTGGACCCATGGCCGCCTACAGTCAAGGATGGGTCACGACATGTGGTGTGGGGCTGGCTGGCGGTAGTTCTTCTCATTGTGTCTCTTAGTGAAGTAGAATGGTAGATTGTCTGCTGAGAGAGAGGGTGGGGGAGGAGATGTAGAGAATTTGAGGAACTGGTTTATATGCATTTCTCTGTTGGAGTTCAACTGTCTTGGCGTAGGCATAGAATGAACAGACAGTTGTGTTTAACCAGGATGGGGATTTTCCTGATGACCATGATGAAGGGAGGCAGGTAGAGTGATTCTGTAATGATTGGCCACAGGTGAAGCTGGCCAAGGAGGGAAATGACAAGAAGGGGGAAGCCCAAGTACAACGTGGTTACTCTGCGCTTTGTAGGTTCTTGTGGGATGGAAGAAGCATTGCATTCAGAGTTCCTGAGGCACCGAAGAGCGAGACAGGTGGTGCTTGAGAGTGAAAGTGCGGGGAGGCTGCGGTGTGAGAGGCCAGACTGCAGGTAGAGCTGCTGGGGAATGGAAGACAGCATTGGAGAATGCAAAGAAATGAGGGGTATCCACGTGATCTTTTTTCAACAAATAGTGAACTTTTTTCCCTATGTGTTATTATTTGGAACTCAGAGAAGTGGGATTGGGATGAGCCAGGAGAATCAAAGCTGTCTGTGCTTTGATTACATTTTTCTGTACCTTACTGTCCTGAAGCCAATAACCTAATGCACACATACAGGTTCCTAACATGAGCACCCTCTTAGCTGGTCTCTCTTCTTGATACAGTAACCACTGCTACTGCAGAGATGAATTCATTCTTGGATGATCCAGATTTTGCTGATATCATATTGAGAGCAGAGCAAGCAATAGAAATTGGAGTTTTTCCAGAAAGAATCACTCAAGGGTCAAGTGGAAGTTACTTTGTGAAGGATCCTAAGAGGGTGAGAATTTCCCAGACCTACTGTGTATTACAGAAATCTTGGAAAACACTAATTTAAATCATACTTTCCTATTAAATCTAATTGCACCCTCTTTTCTAAAATAAAGGTCAGGTTTTTGTTTATTAGTAAAGCACTCTACTGCATAGAAGTAGAGCTAATCATTTTAAGTTGTAGCTTTCTGTTCTGCTATTTTGCATTTGGGTTTAAGCATTTATTTAATAGCCACATTTACCTGTAGACTTACTGAGCATGTATTCGTAAGTCCTTACCTTATAGAAGCCTCCTACCATATTAGCCAAGCATCAAAACCCACCTAATGTCATTTCCAAGTGCTGGATTTTGTCCCAAAGGTCTGTTTTGCCCTAGGAATATTTTTTCTGGCATTGTGTACTGGGTGGAGGGAGGCTGGGAGACCTGAAGCTTGAAAAGCACTAGAGTGCAACAAAGTAAAAGGAAACGAAATATGGCTCTGGAGCAGAAAAGAGAAGTTAACACTGCGCTTTCTTCCACATAGTCCAGAATTTTTCAAAACTTGATGCTAGCTTTTCTAAAAAGCTTTGTGTGTGATGCTAAGCAGTGATTCTTTTTTTGAGGGGGAATAAAACTCATAATTTCACCCAATTTTTCTGCAAAGATTTATATTTCAAAAGAGATTTTAAAACTTAATCCTTTTTTGAGATTTGAATATCTTTGCATAGGGGAATGTGTGCCTATAGTCCTAGGTACTGGGGGCTGAGCAGTAGGATCACTTGAGCTCCTAAGTTCAAGACCAGCCTGGGCAGCATAGCAGACTCCATCTCAAAACAAAACAAAATGAATGGAGTCCTTTCTTAACTTGAAAGTCCAACAATAAAAAACAAGTGAAATCAGAGTTCAACTAGTTAAAAGGTGTGGGGTCACAGGTTAAATGGCAGGAAGCCTTGCACTCACCCTCTAAGGTTTGTCGGAGCACAGTTCAAAAAGTAGTGGGCCAAAGGATTGTTGGTTCTTAGCTCGCTGAGTGAGAATGAGTGTAAAAATGTGATTGGAACTACACCTCTTAACACTTGAAGGTTATGCTTAAATGTGGAGTAGCAGAGGCGAGCAATAGAGAATGATTTATCAGAATGTATTTTGTGGATTATTGTCCATACGTATATAAAAGTCCAGTGAGATTTCTACTGTTTTCTCCTATAGAAAGTTATTGGTGTATTTAAACCCAAATCAGAAGAGCCTTATGGTCAACTGAATCCAAAATGGACCAAATATGTTCACAAGGTCTGCTGCCCTTGCTGCTTTGGCAGAGGCTGCCTGCTTCCTAACCAGGGCTACCTTTCTGAGTCTGGGGCCCACCTGGTGGATGAAAAGCTTCATCTGGGCATTGTACCTAAGACTAAGGTAAAGGAAAATTGCTAGCAGTCCAGCGCTTCTAATTGACAGCTTGCTTTTGCTCATCTGTGGGTACTCCTAGTGACAGAGCCTAAGGTTGGAGTCCCTTTTTGGTAATCCAAGAGCCATGAACGACTAATAAATTGACCCCTACTATAGATCCACAGAGTATCCAAGGCACTGTCTTCAGTTCCTGTGAAATCACAGGAGGCTAATGAAAAGAGGGAAAAGACTAATGAGCATTTAGAAAGCAGAAAAGAGGACTGGGGGTGGGGCTCAATTGGTAGAGTGCTTGCCTAGCAAGACCAAGGCCTTGAGTTCAATTGCCACAAAACAAAACACAGTAAAACCAAAACAAAGAAGCAGAAAAGGAGCTAAGCGCGTACCTTTAATCCCAGGACTCAGAAGGTGGAGGTAGGAGGATTGCGAGTTTCTAGGCTAGCATGGACTACATAGCAAAACCCTGTTTCAAAAAAACAAAGGAGAGAGAGGAGGGAGGGGAGAAAGGTTCTGGGGAGCTCTGTGTCTGCAGAGCCCTTGAAGGTGGAGATTCCTGGCTGTCCACAACGCTGCTCTTGCTTCTTTTTGTTCTCTGTATGTTTTTACTTGAGGCCTCCTCAAAATGTTCATTCCTAATTCTGCACTTCAAGGCTCTGGCTTGTACCTTTTCTCTACTGAAAAATTCTAGGCTGCTTTTAGACCTCTTTTAGAAAAACCGTGTGCCACAGCTGGTCTTCGTATTTTAGATTCTTTGAGCCTTTATTACAGGGCTAACATTTGCTCGTTTCAACATGAGAGTGAGTTTGATGGTGTGGGTGACTACAAGTACTATAATGCAAATTGCAACCGTTTTTCTAAACTCTGTGTTTCTAGGTTGTTTGGCTTGTCAGTGAAACATTTAACTACAGTGCAATTGACCGTGCAAAATCAAGAGGCAAAAAGTATGCCTTAGAGAAAGTGCCAAAAGTAGGTAGAAAGTTTCACCGGATTGGACTTCCTCCCAAGGTAAGTGCTCCCATAAGCTTTACTCTGAGGCGGCTGGGCAGGCATGTCCTGAACTCCAGGAAACAAGAAGTGAATGCAGTTTGATAAAGCTGTTTGTAGGATGGTAAGTTCAGGGAGCTCTGAGAGGTTAGAAGAGAGGTGGCGAGGGTGACATGTAACTCAGTGGTAGAGCACTCGCCCAAGTCTCTGGAGCACTGCAAAAGAAAAAGAAGATGGACAGCCGACTGAATCTGTGGGAGTCAGAAGGATGTCGCATCAAAGGTTTTATAAAGTAATGGCTAAAAGCACAGGTCTGGTATCAGACACAAGTTAGCTCTGAGGCTTTGGGCAGTGGCAGTGACTGTTTACTCATGGTGCATTAGACTTTGTTTCCTCTTACACTTCTGAGTAACCCAATACAAGCAAGGGTAGAGAGGGCTAATGGGAAAGGCCTAAAAGACAAAGCTTTAGCAGTTATTTTTTGATATATTTGACTTACGATTTTGTTATTGCTATACAGGTTCCTAGATAAGAGAACTTGAGTTGAAATTCATGGTTAACCTAACTTTTTCTTTTTCTTTTAATTGTACTCTAAGTAAGAGGAATGGTTTTTGGTTTTTGTTTTGGTGGGCCTGGGGGTTGAACTCAGGGCCTCAAGCATGGTAAACACTCTATTACTTGAGCCATGTTTCTAGCCCTTTTTCTTTTGTTATTTTTCAGAGAGGGTCTTGTAGGTTTTTTTGCACAGGCTACTCTGGACCATGATCCTCTTATTTACACCTCCTGCATAGCTGGACTTATAGGTTTGCTAACCTTTTTTTGCCCTGGCTATCCTCAAACCATGACCCTTGTTATCTCTGCCCCCCCACCGTCCCCAAGTAGCTGGGTATAAGTGTGAGTCACCCTGCCCAACCGAGGCAGAAGTTTTGGAAATTTTTATAAGGCATGTTCTTCCCTGGTTGAGCTAAAATATGTATGACTAAAGAACTTTCATTTCCCTGCTTGTGACTACTAGTACTTACTTATAAATGCTTTGAAGAAAACCTTTAGGAAGTTATTAATATTTTCACACCACCAACAACAATGTAAAATGCTGGATAACCTAGAAAATATGAGGCCCTGAGTTCAAACTCCAGTACTGCCAAAAAAAAAAAGAATTTAAGATAAGAAATACATTTTTTTGTGGTGATTTGTTTGTTTGCATTTGTGAGACAAATAGGTTACTCATTATCTCTGTATCTTCTGTTAAAATTTGTATCCCATCCTCAATATATTGCTTAATGTTAACTTGTAATTTTAAGAATAAAACTGCCTTTTCAAATAGACGTATCTTCAAGGAAAGGACTTTTTTTTTTTTTTAAAACAAGCCACAGTAGAGAGTATGATCAATTGATTTTTTTCTTTAAAATTTATGATTAGATCTTTAATTTGCATAGTCAAAGAATCCATTTTGTTTTTTAAGTAAAATTATTTTCTGTATTGGATGCTGCAAAAAGAACCCTGAAATGTTGCTTCATAAGATAAAATTGCACTATAATGAAATAACCAAGGCAGGTATACAGTTTGGCCTCCATAATTAAATTCATTTTAATGACTATTTTTAGGAAGCAGCATTCTTGTTTGGAGTGTCACCTTGAGGGCACATGTTTATCTTCTTTTTTAATTATCCTAAAATAGCTGCCATGCTCCTTGAAAGTCTAAGGTACTTGCTATGTGTTCTTCAGTGAAATTGGTACCTAAAAATAGCTTTCTTGATAAATGTGGTTTATCTAAATTAGTCTATTTTTCTTATTTTGTTTATGTAACATTTTGTGACAGTACTGCTGAGAAATTTAAAAATTTAATCCCTTTGTTCTTTTACTTTCTTTTCTAACTGTAGTTCTTAAAATTACAGATTGGCTCCTTTCAGTTATTTGTGGAAGGTTACAAGGAGGCTGAATATTGGCTCAGGAAATTTGAAGCCGATCCTTTGCCTGAGAATATTAGAAAACAATTTCAGTCACAATTTGAAAGATTAGTTGTTTTGGATTACATCATCAGAAACACAGGTATTGAAGTTCTCTCATTTGTTCATTCCCATCTTGTTAGCTTTCCAACTAGATTCTTGTTATTGAAATCAAAGCCATAAAACTTTGGAGCAGAAGTATTAAGTCCATTTCCTCTACCTGTTTTGAAAAACAGATGTGGTACTGACTTCTACTGGGCAGAATTCATCCTGTATGGGGGCTCCCTCCACTCATTGCAGTCTCCTGCCCAGGCTATAGAGAGCATCAGTTCCTGTCCCCAGGGACCAGGATAAGAGCAGATGGTTGAACTGTTATCTGAATAATATGAAAAATTGACACTTGATTACATAAATTATATTAGATCCTTATTTGAACAGCATGTAACCGGTAGCAGAGTTATAAAACAGTAAACATTTCATTTGTTCTGTGTTGTGAGGGAACAGTAATGGAGACAATCAAAAGCTGTGGTTCCCTGGTTCAAGGTCAGCAGTACTCAGGAACTTGTTAAATTTGCAGCTTCTCAGAGAAACACCGACACAGAAACTGCAGCGAGAAGGGGACAGGCCTGTGTTTACACCAGCCCTCTGTTTTAATTCTGATGCAATCTAAAGCTTAAGAACCACTGATTTAAAGTTTTCTTACCATTTATATTAGCTTCTGAAAAAGCATCATATAATTTTCTAGATTGATCTCCTTAATTAACATGGCTTAAACTAATGTTAAAATTGATGTATAGCCCAGATTAGGGGAGCCTACTGTGAAATTTCCTGAACAGGAGTACCTGCTTTTTCTTCTCAGGTGAAGAGACGTTATCCTTGATTTTGATAACCTTGATCTCTCGATTGCACCCTCACAGGGCGGTTATGAGGATTAAGTGAATTAATGCAACAGTATTTGGCACAAAGAAAGCATTCAACAAATGCCAGCTAAAATTTATATATTTTTTTAGTTTGTGATAAATTGGAATCTTTAACCTTAATACATGCTACAGAAAAACCAGTGAAAGTCTCAAAAATAATGGGTTGATTAGGTCTCACCCCTTTCTATTAAGCTCTAATATCTGTAAACATCAATTAACAGAAGTTTTGTTTCTTTTGAAAGACAGGGGAAATGATAATTGGTTGATCAAATATGAAAAGGAGAAGTGTGAAAAGGAAATTGATCATCAGGTAAGAAAATTTTCATTAAACAGCAGCAAGTATATATTCAGTTTGTATAAACTATTTCTTCGAGTCACATTTCTCTTCATCATTTTCTCCTTCGTTTTGAGCCTTGTTTTTTTTTGTTTTTGTTTTTTTGATGGTACTGGAGTTTCAACTCAGGGTCTCTTGCTCAATAGGCAGGTGTTGTACCACTTGAGCCACCCCAGCCCCTTTCAGCCCTTTTTTTGTTGGGTATTTTTGAGATAGGGTCTTCTGAACTATTTGCCTGGGCTAGCCTTGAACTTCGATTCTCCTATAGATTCTTGGTTTTTAAACCCCTTTCTCTGTTCTCATCTTTTTTCTTTCTGTCATTTGTTTACTTTGCATTTCTTGATTTTTTTTTTAAATTATCTGTGGGCTGCTTTATTCTTTGTTTTGTATTAAAATAGAAGAATGATGACAGCTCAGTACTTTTTTGGAGCTTGGGAAATTTGTGGAACTTTCAATTTTACTTTACTTTTATATAACAAAGGCTTTTAGTATTTTTGGTGACATTTTTGTAGTAATACTAACTAATTTCCTTCTGAGTATTCTCAACATTAGATAATCCAGTATTACCTAATAAAACGGTATATTTGTGTTTTATTTGTGAATCATGTCCACTTAACTTAAAAAAACAGTACTCCTATTCCTTATAAGAAACTGTTTTAGACTTACATAATAAACCAAAAGATACTCCCCCCATTTTTGGCAGTACTAGGGTTTGAACTCAGGGCCTCTGGCTTGTTAGGCATGTGCTCTACCATTTGAGCCACACCCACATCCCCTGAATAGACCCTTAGCAATATCAGAATTATAGATTTAAATTCATTGCTATCAACTTTGAGTACCCAAACTCAAATTTTAGATGTTTACATAAGACATTTTTAGAATAGTTTTTAAAGTTTTAAAATTTTGAAGAAAATTGAAAGAAACTAAAAAAATAACTTACTTAGTACTTTGAATCTCTGTGTTCTCTAGTGCTCACTCAGAACTATTGCATCATTCTGAAATGATTGTATTTTTACGTATCCAGGAAATTTAAAAACACGTAAGTGTAGCACTTAGCAATAAAAAAAAAAAAAAAAAAAACTTGCTATACAAAATAACATGGAGGAAACTTCATGCTCCCCTGAGTGAAAAAAGCTGGAAAAAGGAGCATAACAAATGGTACCATTTGTATAAAAATCTCAGATGCACATTAGTCCCTAGTGAGGCGAGACCAGGGGCTGCCCAGAGAGAGGGTGGAGGGAGGGTGGACTGCCAAGGAACACAGGTAAGGTGTAAAAGCTTCACATGTGTCAGGGGTTAGCAAGCTGTCCACTGTAGCACCTCAGTAAAGTTTTGTATAGAAAAGAGTGATAGAAATCAACCTGAACATTTTGCAGTTATTGCAAATGCTGATTTAAAATGCACATTTGTAGCAGCTCCTGAATTTATTTTATTGGGATATCTACAGCAGTTAAGTTTTGCTGAGAACGTCATTCTTTTGCTCTAGTTATTTGGTGTATTTTCATTGAGATGAGATATTTGATATAAACTAAGAGAAACCTGGCATATGTTGGCAGTCTTCACAGTAGCACTTTTAATTTAAAAATTGCCTCTTTCACTTTTTATTTTATCTAGGTCACTTACTAATGGCAACCCTTTGTCTTTAAAGAACAGGAAGTACTATGTCTGGCTCCTGAGGTCTTTGTTTCTGCTAGGAAGAATGATCTACATTCTATAAGTCAAGGATACCTGACGACTGGAGGTGTGGCTCAAACGGTAGAAGTGGTAGAGCCCCTGCTTTGCAAGCATAAAGCCCTGAGTTCAAACCCCAGTACCAACAAAAAAAAAAAAAGACTATCCTGTCCTGAGGTTCCTTCTGCTAACCTTAATCATATTTAGTTATAGTCTTTGGGTTTTTTTTATTTTTCACTTTATATTTGACCTAATTATTTGTCTGATACTCTTAAGAGAAGACTACATTTCAATAAGGTAATTTTGTTAAGTTGTTTGAAAAAATTGGAAAGTGCATTAAGAGATGAATCTAGCAGTGAATTCCCTAGAATATCACTTGTTTTGTTTTGGTAGGACTGGGATTTGAACTCAGAGCTTCACTTGTACAAAGCAGGCACTCTACTACTTGAGCCATTCCTCCTGTCAGTTTTTTTGCTCTAGTTATTTTGGAGATGATGAACTTTTGGCCCAGGCTGACCTTGAGTTGCAATCCTCCTAATCTCAGTCTCCCAAGTAGCTAGGATACAGGCATGAACCACCAGCCTGGCTTAGAATACCAGTTTTTAAAGTCTTGACATTTTCAAGTTCTCTTCTCCAGAGAGGAAAAAGCAGTGAAACCATTTACTAAGTAAACAATTAATGCCAAATTTAAAAAACAGTGATTATGAATTCTTACTGTTTCTTAAGACAGTCCCTTCCTTTCCTGGGATAATTTGTATTCTTTCCTACAACTTATTTTTTGTGGACTCTTGATAGACAATATGTCTTTAAACCTCAATAATTATTATAGTTTTCCTTTGTAGATACTGATATAGGTTCTTTTATCAACAGATATTTTTCTCCTCTTTAGGAATCGAACTGGATTGATGATAAAGAACTGCTTATTAAAATAGCTGCAATTGATAATGGCCTAGCATTTCCTTTTAAACATCCTGATGAATGGAGAACATGTGAGTACTTAGAGCCTTCTGAAAAGTCTGTAATTACCCCTTTTCCCAAATGGGAAGGGAACAAAACTTACAGATACCAGAATAGCAGAGGAAAACTAAACAAAGGATAACCATTCATTAGCACTCAGTTCTAGGCAGCAGGGAGGCAAATGTCTACATGGGTCTTGCTGGGTATCATTTGCTTATTTTAGGATGATTGTGTTTGGTTTTGGTTTTTAGCCTTCTGTTAGCCTTGGTCTGGGTTTGGTAACTTTCTAATTCTTAAAGTATATATAACATGGAGATTATCTATTTTTAATATTTTGGTGGACTATGGCCTCTCCCCGCCTTCTAGTGAGTATATTTTAATTCCCTTCCCAGTCTCTTCTATGGTTTATGATAGATTTTTCTACATCTTGGGACAATTTTAGACATTTGTATTTTGTTTAAAGCTGTCCATGAATTTCAGATTTATAAGTATAATGATTTATATAGAATTTTCTTATAATTTAAAAACTCCCTCTGAGCATATTAAGTATTTAGACAGTAAAATGAAGTACTATCCAGAATTTTCCTTAAAGTACTTGTGGAGGCAGAACTGGGGGAACAGATACCTAACAGATTAGGGTATTTGGAATTTAAAACTTTTTCAAGTTGGAAATAGAATAAATTTTAAAAATAATCTCTGCAGCTATAATTGAGTCTACCTCTATTAAATTCCTACTGTTTACTAGTGTGCTTTTTCCATGTTTGAGCTTGCCAACGATTTCTCTTGTTAAGCATCAGCCTGTTTATTTATTTGTTTGTTTGTTTAGATCTTGCTTCCCTCGGATGACTTTATCAATCAGAGTTTCCAGTTTCTTTACCGTTTTTTCTTTCATTGACTTGTGCTTTCCACCATTACTCTTTTTCTCTAGCTTTCCTATGAATGTTTGTTAGCTTTCCATCACTGTGAAGGAATACCTGAGAAAAAAAGGAATGAAAAAGTTTATTTTGACTTACAGTATCAGATGGATGCGAAATACAAAGCAAAAATGCAAGTCAGCAAAGTGACAGTCACAGTGACTTTTAATTGTCTCTCAAAAGCTAACAGCTGGGTGCTGATGGCTCACACCTTAATCCTTGAGATTTGGGAGGTGGAGATAGGGAGGATCAAGGTTCAAAGTCAGCCTAGGCAAACAGTTCAAAAGACTGCTTTGCAAGTGCTAAAACTCCATGTCAACTCCGATCTCACCAAAAAAAAAATTAACAGATTAAGTGACCAAAAAATAGGTCAAGGATGCAAGCAAGACTAACAACTAATAAGTTTCAGTTAGCAGGCAGACACAAAAAACTCTTGTGTTCAAATACATTCTTTTCAGATATAGTCCTTCAAATTGGCCATGTATAAGATCATAAAGAAATTACTAACAAATTGCAAAAAACAACTCACAGGGGCCAAATTCCCATACTGCAAAAATAATGGAAAATAACGTACATTTGAAAATGACAATGGATCATTTTTTTAAAAATCAGCCTATCTAGAAATTTTTAAATCAGTGATACTTGTCACAAAGAAAATCAGAAAATGTGAAATGCAAAGCAGAACAAGAGAGTAGCACCCATGTCCTCTCTGGTGAGGCCAGAATAACACCAGAGGAAAACATGTGGCCTAATAAGAATTCACAGGGCTATAGTTTGAATCTTGAACATTCCCCAAAGGACCATGTGTTATAAGCTTGGGGTCCAGCCTGTGGTGTTATGGGGGGTGGACGTGGAACCTTTAAATGTGGGGCCTCGTGGACTCTCTCATTTCTTAGCTGCAATGAGGTGAGCAGCCTCCTCTGCCACACATTCCCCATGATGTCCTGTGCTGCCACAGACCCAAAGCAACAGGGTCAAGGGAATTTGGGTGGTGGAAGAAGGTGAGAAATAGGGGTTAGAAGTAGAGGTGGGCAAAGCAAAAATGCTTTTCTTTTATGAATTGTTTAGGGAAAGGTAAAAGGAAACTGAGATAGCTTTAAGGACATGTGGGCAGAGGGAAGGCTTTTTTAGAGTGCATGCTGTACCTGCCACGACATGCAAAGAGGTGGATGGAAGAGAAGTGAGGGCACATTGCTTCATGTAGACTTTCTGAGTGGTGGGATCCTCCCAACTGGGGATGCTGGCTAGAATCTGCATATGTGCCCTCTCTAGAAGATTCCACCATTGTACAGATGTCTGTAGCCCTGGGACTATGTGGATTTTATGCTCTCCTTGGGGAGAACTAGAGTTAGATCAGCATCATGGATTTATTCTTTTTTTCTTGCATTGCTGGAGTTCAAACCCATGCTAGACAAGTGCTCTACCTCTGGGCTACATCCCTAGCCTAGAGCCATGGATCTTTTATCCCTTAAAGCCACCCATTTGCTTCCTAATGAATCAAAAATTGAAAAAATCTTCTATATACAAGGGCCTCAATTCCTGATGATTTGCAGCGTGGAGGACAGAGAATCTTTATCCAGGCTTTTTCAGTCTGGGGTTGCGAATAAAGTGATACCCACCACCTTCCAAACTCAAAACCAGATAGGTTGAGATACTTTCTTTTGAGATAAGCTCATTATCAAATTCTGATTCTTTACTCTCTAAAGCTCAGAAGCATAAGCAGTTCAGGTAGCACCTTACTATGCCTTACACTCTGAATTGGCTGTACGAACTTGGAATCTGAGGAGTTTGATTACAAAGGATAGTTGTGTTGGTAACGCTTCTGTCCTGTCCTGTTTGGGGAGAGCCCATGAGTTGTGGGAAAGAAGCAGGATAAATGTGAGTCTGAATAAACCATTTTCTGCCACTGATTCACAGAATTCTTTTTCTGTCAGATCCATTTCATTGGGCTTGGCTTCCTCAAGCGAAAGTTCCATTTTCGGAAGAAATAAGAAACTTGATTCTGCCATCTATTTCTGATATGAACTTTGTACAGGACTTGTGTGAAGACCTTTATGAACTTTTTAAGGTGAATGTTCAATTTGGGAGGGGTTCTGGTTTGTACATTTGTTTTTCCACATTAACTATGTATTGTTTTGTTTATTTAGTGATACTGGGATTTGAATTTGGGACCCTTCACTTACCAGGCAGGCGCTACCACTTGGACCATACCTTAAGCCCCTAGCTTACTTTTTGAGATAGAGACCTAGTAATATTTTTTCCAGGCTGGCTTCAAACCAAGATCCTTCTGTCATCGCCTCTTGAGTAGCTCTGCCTCATGAGTAGCTGGGATTACAGGAGTATATCACTATGTTTGTCCTTTATTTTATTCTCATTTTAATTCTTGTGGTGCTGAGGATCAAACTCAGGACTTTGTGTATGCCAGGGAAGTGCTCGATCACTGAGCTACATCCCAAGTCCCCACATTAAATTTTAAATGTGGTTTTAGGCTGTTACAAGAAATGGCCATCCTAAGAAACACATTAGCATCATCATACTAGTTTTTTTGTATCAGGTAGTCTATAAGGGACAAAGGGGGAGAAACTATGTTAGGAACTGTACAATATGGGGAAGCAAAGATAAATGAAACCTAACCCCTTCCCTCAAGCTTAAAATGTAAGTTTAATTTGAAAAGATACACAAGAAGGCTGGGGCTGTGACTCAAGAAGAACACTTGCCTACCAAGTGCAAGAACCTGAGTTCAAACCCCAGTAGTGCCCAAAATAAATATAATTAATTAATTAAAACACATACAAGACTTAAGGCAAGAAATGAATCTATGCTGGTATATGGTAAGACATCAAAGAAGTGAGTAAGGAAAGCTGTGTTTTAAGGAAAAGGTCCTTACTAATGATCCCCAAATCATACAGTGCAATTGTGCTTTAATAAGTCAGACTATAGTTTTTGGAAAAGTTGCATGAAAACATGCTAACTCACTTAATTATCACAATAATCTTGTAATAAAAAGTGTATCATATTTCATATACTATTTCATTTGTGAAGAAGCAGAAGTATAAGAGGTTAAAATAACTTAGCACAGGTGAGCAGTGCCTGAGAATTGAGCTGGAATCCAAACCCAGGCAGACTGGAAGTTCAGGCTACTGTGCTCTAAACCACTCACTATGCTGTACTTCCAAGCCAAAGACTTTGGAGAAAGGTCTCAGTTAAGAACCTGATGTGTACTGTATTTTTATTTTATTGCATTTCTAACATCTATAGTAGATTTTACTGCATTCTTAATGTGTAGTTCCAGGTTGTTTATTTTTTGTCCCTAAAATTATCCCATTTTATACTTAAATCAGAGGCTCAGCCTACCTACATTAATTAGTAGGTAAAGAAGAATGAGAGAAAATTTTCTTGAACAAATAATACCTGAATTAGGTATTAAAGAACAAGAGAACAAGAAACAGTGTCTTCCAGGCATCTGTATACCTCCAAATCCTATCTGGCTTTCAAATTCCAGTACAGAGGTTGTGTTTCTATAATGGCATCTCTAAAATTTTCAAGTTTGAAGTAATTGCTTTTCCTCTGAATTTCTTGAACAACAAATATATCTCAGGATGCAGAGAGAGAGGAAAGAGAAAAAGGAAGGAAGG